TCCCGGCCCCGCAGGGAGAAGGACATCGACGAGGTGCTGCAGACGCACACGGTGTTCGTGAACGTGTCCAAGGGGCAGGTGGCCAAGAAGGAGGATCTCGTGAAGGCCTTTGGCACCGATGACCAGACGGAGATCTGCAAGACGGTGAGTTGGGCGCGGACCCACGCACGGTCCGCAAAGCAGCCCCGGAAAGATCCGTTCTTGGAGTGTTTTGCACAAGTGTCACACAAGCAGCACAGCAGACGCACACGGTGTTCGTGAACGTGTCCAAGGGGCAGGTGGCCAAGAAGGAGGATCTCGTGAAGGCCTTTGGCACCGATGACCAGACGGAGATCTGCAAGACGGTGAGTTGGGCGCGGACCCACGCACGGTCCGCAAAGCAGCCCCGGAAAGATCCGTTCTTGGAGTGTTTTGCACAAGTGTCACACAAGCAGCACAGGTCGGTTCGCTGTTAGGAGGACCCCCAACACCCAGGGAGTGCAGCACCCTTCTGAGCTATAGGTTATAGGAGTTTCTGTATGGTAAGAAACAAAGAGAAATGCATGTTACCTCCCTTTAATACAGTTTAATACAGACACCCCCAGAGCCCTGAAAATCTTACATAGTGCGTAGCACTGATTGCAAAAGACACGTGAAAAGAGGTTTATCGTCCCCATGGAAGCTCTCACCCAGGGTATGTTTGCTGTTTCTATCCAAAAATATAAAAGATATATCCAAAGAGGGGAGGGGAGCGATTGCTCACTTTGGACAGGCAAATATTAGGAAAAAAAAAATCCTTCTTAGGACAGTACAAACTGAGGGCTTGTTGTGGGTGATGGTACTTTGAATAACGCTGCACTCTTTTCTTTTTATAGTTTAGAAAATAAGATTTTTTTTCTGAAATCTTGCCAGTATTGTCTGTCAGAATGATGCATTTTATTGATGTGGTTTTCTTTTCCATACCTACTGTTTAACCAAACTTTCAAGTCATTAGTAAATTTAACAAAATTACTAGATTTTTACTCCTAAGTCAATTCTGTGACACTTATAAACTGCAGTCTTTATTTTTTCTTTATTTTTAATCAAACAGATTTTATCGAAAGGGGAGTTGCAGGTATCGGACAAGGAACGGCACACTCAGCTCGAGCAGATGTTTAGAGACATTGCAACTATTGTTGCTGACAAATGTGTGAATCCTGAAACAAAGAGACCATACACAGTAATCCTGATAGAAAGAGCTATGAAGGATATTCACTACTCTGTCAAACCAAACAAGAGCACAAAACAGCAGGTTGGTTTTCTGTTTAAGTCAGCTGGCACTCACAAGTGTTGTTTTCAAACATATTTTCTGCATTCGCGTTCAACAGGGATCAAAAAAAACAGTGGTCCAAAGTCCAAAAAATGATTAGTCGGTTGGCTGACAGGTAAGTGCTAGAAACGAGCAGCTTGTGAAACTCTGATAGTTTCTTCTCGAAGTGTTTAGGGAAGAAAGAAAAACTAATCAAAGCAGTAACAGTGGTATGTCTGAAATGAAAGTAATTGTTTTATGATTCATTTTAACTGGGGTCATTAGTCAGGCTTTGCAAGTGAGCCCCATGGGTTTCCATTGTTCTGCAGCGTGACTTCTGTTTATTACAGGCCCTTTTTTTTGAGTCCTTTAAGTCATCACCACCACCAAGAATTCTGCCTTTGCAATCAAAATAGCATAATATCAAACTCTCTCCAGCAGAATTCCAGTGATCCGTGCTGAAAAACGTGTTTGAAGCTGATACAGAGGATTTGAGATGTGATTAGGGTGGTTTTGGCAGAGCTCGGAGGGTTGTGATCAGTGGCACAATGTCTAGCTGAAAGGCAGCAGCTGGCTGCAAACGCCAGCTCCAATCCCATCATCAGGGACCTGGATGGTGGCACCGAGTGCACCCTCAGCAAGTTTGCTCATGGCATAAAACTGGGAGGAGTGGCTGACACATCAGAGGGCTCTAGTGCTGTTCAAAGATAACTGTAGGCTGGAGAGATGAGCAGAGAGGAAGGTCATGAAATTCAGTGAAGTGCAGATTCCTGCAACTAGGGAGGAACAATCCCCTACACCAGCGCAGGTTGGGGTTGACCTGTGGGAGAGCAGATGCGCAGAGCAGGAGCCAGGAGACCTGGTGGGCAACATGGGCACAGCCACCACTGTGCCCTGGTGGCCAAGAAGGTCCATGGTGGCCTGGGGCGCACCAGGAGGACGTTGCCAGCAGGGGGAGGGAGGGGATCCTGCCCCTCTGCTCAGCCCTGGAAAGGCCGCCCCGGGAGGGCCGTGTCCCGTGCTGGGCTCCTTGGGACAGCAGGACACGGGGCTGCTGCAGAGCCCAGCAAAGGACCACTAAGATGCTGAAGGGACTGGAACATCTCTCATATTAGGAAAGGCTGAGGGAGCTGGTGCTGTTCAGTCTGGAGAAGGCTGAGGGAGGATCCTGCCAATGGTTCTGAATATCTGAAGGGAGGATGTAAAGAGGATGTGGCCAGACACAGGTGCCTAGTGACAGAACGAGAGGCACACTGAAACACAGGAAGCTCCATGTGAACATGAGGAAAACTTCTGTACCATGAGGATGACTGAACACTGGAGCAGGTTGCCCAGGGAGGCTGGGGAGTCTCCTTCCTTGGAGGTAGGAAAAATGGATGAGGTCCTGGGTAGCCTCTTCTAGGTGTCTCTGCTTGTGCAGGGGGCTTGGACTAGGTGATCTGCAGAAGTCCCTTCCAATCTCAACCATTCTGTGATTCTGTCCTGTTACTCTGTTTTGGTGCTTTTTAGGCAAATTGGTGTATTTAATCCATTTATGTATTTAATATCCGTGCAGGCACTGGAAGTGATCCGACAGTTAAAGGAGACCATGCAGATTGAGCGTGCCCACATGAGGCTGCGATTCATCCTTCCACAGAAGGAGGGGAAGAAACTGAAAGAAAAACTCAAGCCACTGATCAAAGTCATCGAGAATGAGGACTTCCACGAGCAGTTAGAAATTGTAAGCCGAAAAGCAGTCCGGGGTTTCATGCTCCGTTTGACTACACGTGTACATTCTAGTAGAGGAACATGGGGGACATTTTGAAAAGCTGGAAGTTTACCAGGGACTCTAAATCAGAGATGTAGTTTGTTGGCTTTCATTTCACACCATCATAGTGAAAACTTGAAAGCAACTTTTGTTATATAAAGATTGCTGGTTTGGGCTGCAGAGACATGTGTGTAATTTCTCTTAGCAGTGATTCTCCTGTAACTGCTCTTTATCTGACAGATTTCTCTGCACATGCAGAGTCTTACCGTTAATTAAGATTTTGGGTGGGTCAGGTCTCTATTTGAAAATAGCTGGTCATATTTTTTTAAAAATAGCCTACAGTAAAGCAAGATTTGCTACTGAGTAAAAATCATTTTGAGAACAGGTCATAATCTAGCAGTTTAATTGGGAAAATTGTCATGTACAGCATAGGTAAAAGAAATTGCAGAGCTTCTGTGGAAAGACTAATTGATAAATTCTTACCAACTGTGTGAAGAGCTTTTTAATAATAATATATATTTTTTAATGAAAAATATGCTATACCCTGTACTGATTAAATGTAAAATATTTCAGGTGTGCCTTATTGACCCAGGATGCTTCAGAGAGATTGATGAGCTGATCCGGTGTGAGACAAAAGGGAAAGGAACGCTTGAAGTGCTCAGTCTGAAAGATGTGGAAGAAGGAGATGAAAAGCTTGAATGAAGAAAACCCTTCAGGAATAGTACTTCTTTAACAACACTCTACCAAGTGACTGGTGTTAGCCTCTCTGTTCTGTTAGGCCTTCATGTTGTTTCCAATCTCTTGTTGCCAAATATTTCCTGACACTAATTATTTGGGATTTTTCCATGCAGTGTTCTTTATTATTTTACACTTGCTTGGGTTTGCCTATAGGAATATTTTGTGTCGGAGCTGCACTAATGAGGATGGAGTTAAGACCTGACTTGGAAATTGCTGTAGCTTTGTTTTGCTGTGAGGGTTGTGACTGAAGACTGACTGATACAGTGCCAAGTAATTACTGATTTTAATTGTCAGTATTGAGTGGAAGATTTCATATGTCTCGGAGGGGTAGGTTTTGTATGTGAGGAGAGAAACCTTTAAAATAGTGAGCTACATTTTCACTTTAAAACAAATGCAAGGTATGGATAGTATATAAAGTTATTCCCTGGCAGCACAAAAAAAGGACTCACTGAGATTTAAAAAAAAAAAAAAAGTAACACAGAGAAAATGTCCTCCAAATAACTTATTCATAAAGTATATTTAGCTACATTAATTAAAAAAAGAATTATCATCTATTTATGTATTTCACAGAAAGAAAGTGATTATTTTTGTTATGGTATAGGAGCTATCTGTGGCTGTGGCGATGCTTTTAGTAAGCTAATGGGATGGCCTGCATTTTTCTCATTCAGGTGGTGAAATGAACCAAATCTTGAGTAGGTGATGGCCTGTGGCCATGGAGCTAGACAGACTTTTGCTGAACCCTGATTCCCTAGTGGTAAATGTAGTGTATGCCTCTCTTTTACTACAACCAAGAGTAAATCTGGCTGCTGTGCTTCATTTTGTGTCTTTTTGTGCTACTTTCTAATGTGCACAGAGAATTTCCAACCAGATCCTGAGGCATGGTTCTTGATAGTTGTATTAAAATTTGTTTCAGCCATATTAAGCAAATGCTTTTAAGTTTAACTTTTATGCTTCAAAGAAGAGGAGGGGAAAAAAAAGGGAAGAAAAAAAGGGGAAATAGGTACTAAAAATATAAACCATCATTCAAAGCATAGATCCTCGGGCGAATCAAAGCTAAACCAGTAGGAACTTAAAGAGCCTTTAGTATTATGTACCCGTTTCAATGATTTCACACAGCAAATCAGGATTTGCTAGGTGGACCACAGCGAGCTCTGTTTCGTGTTAGCAATGTGCTGTATTCCGTGGTTACTGTTTGCTCCTGGAGTGTGTGACTGTGCCTGTTACATGACAACTGGGCAGAGCTCTGGTGCACGCTGTCGACAGGACCTTCTCCTTTGTATCGTTTACAGATGTTGTGAGTTTTGTAGAACGTCTGCAGGGAGATTTGAAGTCAAGTGGAGAAAGAGAGAGATTTTGACACGTCAGCTGTAGAGCCTGTGTGACTAGCTTCTTAGACCTTCTGCAAGGTTAGGTTAAATTTCTTTATTATATTTTGGAACTTGCAGCTGTGCTGTCTGAGACCACGAAGGGCAGTGAAAGGAATATTTTCTGTTGCCCCCAAATGAACTTCCATGGATTTTAAATGCTGCCTAGGAAAGTTTAGTAGCATAATTAGTGTATTTGCCATGCGGACGCAGCCTGGATGTGGAGGCTGGTGTGTGCATGGCTAGACTGAAGATTCTTTGTGTGTCCAAGCCCCTAACTCTGTCTGTCAGGCGACCTCTTCATGAGGCACATACTTCATGAAGCACTGCAGATAATGGTGCTGATACTTGGCTTGTCACTAACAATTAGTACTAACATATAATTCATAACTCTAAGAATGAGACACTAAGAGCCTCAGTTGTCATTTGCATTGGTAATATTTGATTCCACAGTCCTATAATTTCTTTCTCTTCCAACTACAACAGCTAGAGCACAATATGATGGCTGCAGGTTAAAGTTCTTGAGTTACAGAAATTTAATCTAAACTAATTTTATGAGTTTCATGCTAGGAAAGATATTTCCTTATAAAACCTTCTTCTAAGAATCAAATGATAATTTTTTTTTCTCTTGTGACAGAAGCTTGGTTTTATATATGAAAAAATAAATGTACCTGCTTGCATTGCTCATCATGTTTGTAGTTCGGGAAAAAATACATGGTAAGCATCAGAATAAATCTCAGTATTGTTATTTGTTGTGTTCATTTTCAACTCCTGCCTGTTTCAGTGGAGCGTGACTCCTAATAGCATAACTCCTACAAACAATTACACTGGTCTTTCAGATGTTGCCAATCCTTTTTAATTGTAACTTTTTTATCATTAATTGGGAGTGGGAAAATGGCATTTTCTAGGAGATCTGTTAAACTACTTAAGCAACAGTAGTTTAATCCTTAACCCAGAAACCTAAATTACTCAGAAGTTTGAGCTATATTTCATTCCTTGCAAGCTTCTCTGAAAGGCTTTAGAGAGGTCAGCCTGGCCGTCCCCCTAAGCTCTGAGGCAGATGAAAAGCTTTAAAGAGGAGAAGAAGTGGTCGTGTTATCCTGGGAATTTCACAAGAGCTGGAGGTTGCAGGAGTCCCCTCTCTCCTTGGTGGACATTCAGTTCTTGACAGCAAGACTTTCCCCATGGAGGAGGACAAGTGCAGTGGACAATTAACTGGTAATTACTCATGTTTCTTAAACTGAGGGCAACCCCTACACAAAATTTAGCAGTCCTGACCCAGTCTGTCTACAACTGTGAGAAGATGCTACCATAACCCATCGCCTCCTCTGGAGGTTTCCTCACAAGGCTGCTGGAAACCCAGAATTCTTCCTGCAAAAGAGTATGGCGTGACCACGGTGATGGAAATTGGTGTTGGAAAATGCAGCACAGCATTTGTCTACCTCAAAGAGCTCAGTAATTGCAATTAAATCCCAAAGGAGCTCCCTGGGGCTGTGGAGCAGGCACAGCGATAGCAGATGAGCTTCAAGGTAAGCACCTAGGGAGAATCTAGGGTAAACAGCATCTAGGAAGTAAATAAAATACAAGCTGCCTTAGAAGAGAATGTCCTCTGCACATTTCCATTTGGAGATTAAACCCCTTCCTGGCCGTCTAGGACAAAACGGTTGGTCCCGCTCTTGGGCAGTGCAGGTTTTGGGGGCCAGATGAATCCTGCCTTTTGCAGCCATGTACCCAGAGCACCCCCCTGTCCCCTGCAGAAATGGGTGGGATGGGAGGCCACTACCAGTGGTGACAGTCACTGTGGGATGCGAGCAGGGGTCAGGGCGGTGGCAGGAGGGGCTGCGTGGTGCTGTGTGCGGTGACGCTGAGCTCCGGGCACCGGCGTTCCGCGCCGGCCGGAACGGCTGCCGGGCTCCGTCTGACCTCACAAAGCGGCAGCCGCGCCGTGTCCCCGAGGTGGAAGGGCCGCGGCAGCTTCTGTGCCCACAGTGACGCCGGGAGCCACGCTGGGACCTCTGCCACCATGCAGGACCAGAAGACGGACATCAACCAGCAGATCCAGGAGCTGCGCACCATCATCTCCCTGCAAGGTGACGCTCCCTGGCCTCGGGGGGATGCCCCCACGGGAGGAGCGTGTGGGACGCGCTGTGGGGATGCGGGGGAGCAGCCTGGGGCTCAGGGACTGCAATGGGGTTGGAATGATGCTCTCCAGGAAGGAGGTAAAAGCAAATTACTGGTCGTCTCACTCTGGGGCATGTTTATCTCCTGGAGGAAGGTCATGCTGGGGCCCTAGGGAGGCCACTGTGTCTGTGCTCAGCTGGGATCTGTCTATGGGGCAGGGCTGGGTTAGGGTCACCTGCCGGTGCCCACCGAGGGTGTGAGCTGTGCGTGCACAGCACAGCCTGGCTAACGGGAAGCAGGAATCAGCCCGACATTGTGTGTTGCTGGGCTCTCTCCTGCCAACCGAGCCTCTGGGCAAGGCAGAGGAGCAGCAGCGGATGAGGATGGGTGACAATGTACCTGTCCAAGTCAAAGGATGGGGACAGCACGTCAGTGCCTGGCACCAACAGCGCTTTAATGTCCTTCAGAGCAAGGGAAGAAGCTTTTCATGCAGTCAGCTGAGGAGAAGCTCATTCAGAACAGAGGGCTGCTACCCTGGCTGCGCGGGACTGTGCGGGATGACATCAGCGCGCTGGGCATTGCTGAGAAGGTACCTGTGCCTGTGCACCCTGCCATGTCCTGTCCCCTCAGCCCATGTCCCAACCTGTGGCCATCCAGAACCAGCTTCTCTGCTGGGTCCATTTCATGTCCATCTTCATGTCCCACTGGGCACTGGCCGTGTCCTCCTATCACCAGAGGTGGTTTGCTGGCCCAAGCCAAACTGCTTTGACTCTGCCCTGTCCTTGCTGCTGTGGGCTGAGCTGGGGCACGATCCCCACAGCCAGGTCCTGACGGAGGATCAGGCATGTTGCCCTGGTAGCTCCATAGTGGATCTGAGAGCTGCTCCAGGGAGCAGGAGCTCCAGGGCGCTCCTTCCTAGGAGTAATTTGTGTGTCAGGTCAGTAGCATCAGGCAGTAACAGGTTGCATCAGGGCTAGTTCCTTTGCAGGCACTGACATTCCCTCTCCCGCGCACAGCAGGACCAGGTCATCATATCTGAAGCTTGCAGAGCACAGAAGCACTTGGACATCACCTTGACCAGAAGCACAGCAGAGGTAACGAGCTTGTGCTGTCTGGCTCTGTTCAAAAGGTACCAGGACTAGAGGGATGGTCAGAAAAATAAGTCCACAAGAAGGGGACTTTTGGGGATATCCCTTTGTGCCAATGGTCCTTCAGGAATGGTGCCTTGAGACATGGGGTGTTCGTGTGCAATCCCACAGGATAGGCACTGAACAGAAATGCTCCATCAGCAGATATCCTCCTTCAGCTCCGTAGGTGGATCCTCTGTCCCAGCAGACCCAACAGACCTCCTGGTTGTCCTGAGAAATAGTATCCCCAGGGCCACACAGATGTGCAAGGCTGTGGATGTGCAGACCTGGCCCAAAGCTACGTCCTGGTTATAAATCCATGGGAGCTACAGGCAGCTTTGGAGCTGTAGGAAAAGCCCAGATTAGTTCCCTTTGCTCAAGGGCCTCTTGCAGGAACAGAGCTGCACCTCGACTCCCTTCCAGCATCCATACTTGGCACTGCCTTGGTTTACTGAGATTCACTCCTAGGTCTGTGTTCTGCACGGTTTCTAAGCCAGATTCACAGCTGCTATAAAGAGACATCAACATCAGCCTCTTCCTTACCCCAAACCCAGGCTACCCTAGAGTGAAGCCCTGTTGGATGCAGCCATGCCAGGAAAAATGCCTGCCCGCTCTCCGTGGTGTCCCAGAGCAAACACCCCAGAGTCCCTGACTTGCCTTCGGGTGAATTTTGCCTGCACAGATCCCCAGAGCCTGGCCCTTCTCCAGTGGATGCCTAGTGACCTTCCCCGCAGCTCTGTGAGCTCTCACGTGTGCTTTCAGATGGCCCGGGAGAAGCTCCGCAACGACATCTTTGACCGGGTGAACATGTGCAACATGTTGCTCTATGAGCTGAGGCAACGGGACAGAGTCCTGGACGAGCTGCAGAGGCAGCTGCAGCGTCTGATAGAGGCAGAAATTGGTGACAAACAGCAACAGGCCCAGATGCAGGTACATGTGGTCTGCTCCCAAGGCAGGAGCCACAGGCTCCAGTGGCCACATGCAGGTTTTAATCCAGCATCTTCTCAGCTCTTCCAAGAAATCCGGGCAGCTGCTGGGCTCAGCAGTCTGGGTCCTGTGGGATACCCTTGACTGGAGCCATCTCTACTGCAGGTGATTCGCCAGCTGGAGAATAACATTGAGAAAACACTCATGAAAGTCCGCACCGGCCAGAAGGTCACCACGCTGTACCTGGCAGTGCGGGACGTCCTGAAGAAGGTGAGCTCTCCTTCACCATCTTACCATACCATACCAGGGGACAGACACATGCAGGGTGCTGAGGGCATTGCTCAGAGCTGAGGTTCTGCAGAGGGGCCTGCTGTATGGCCAGGGCTGTGCCTGGCCTCAGCACCGGCCTGGAAGCTGCTATGCAACGTGAGGACCTGGCCAGGCTCTGCTTCAGCCCATCTGGTGGAGATTTGCTCCCCTGGGATCCACCTGCTTGCCTATGGGTACTGGTACATCCCAGCTGCACCCTGGCAGCTTCTTCAAGTCCTCCCGAGTAAGAGTAGGGAATTCTGCTTCCTGACTCTGGCTCCTGTGGGGATGGACCTGTATGTGGGCTGAGGAGGGAGCTGGGTCTGCTCGTCCTACATCTGGATGTCCTGGATCTGGGATCGTCGTGCAGGGCAGGGCATGTCTGTGCACACTACATAAGCTTTGCAAAGACTGGGTGAGCTGATCTCCACATCGCTGTCTCTCCTGTGGAAGGAAATGATGATCCCTGATAATCTGTGTGTGTCCTAGGAGCTGGCCCACCTGCCTTTACAGCTGGATGTCCTGCACAGGATGGTCGAGGTGTACCAGGGGGAGCTTAAAGGCATGGAGCTCATGGCCTCGGATGCCGTTAAAGCCACTGACATAGCCAAGGTGAGGACTAGGCCTAGGGCACCCCTTCCAGGAGCCAGAGCCCACCGTGACCCAGCATGGACTGCAATAGGTTCCCAGATCATGGAGTCTTCCTGCAATAAGGTGTAGAAGAGACTGAGCTGGACTTGCCCACAGTATCCAGATGTCTTTGCACTCCTCCCTTGCCCTGCTCTTAGATAAGGCTCCCTTGGGGTTGGGGGACAGCTTACTAGAAGCACCAGCAATGGGAAAAGCCAGCCTCGTCCATCCTTCCAGCCCTCCTTGCCCCTCTGTGGTCTCCTACAGTGTTTGTTACATGGGAGGTCATTTTTGACATTTTCTGTCCCAAAAGCAGCTGCATTTCAGCATGTGGCTTAGCTTGTTCACAAAGGTCCCTCCTAGCTTTGACAACTGTTTCTCCTTCTTTGGTTGTTCAAACATGCTCCAGGTGGACCTGGCCAACCTGGAAGCTCAGTTCCTTATGGAGAGAAACCTTAGGGACCAGTCCCTGGCTGCCCAAAAGGAGAGAATTGACAAAATTCGCCTCAAGGATGCACCACCCTGAGGGGTTCAGGATCCAGCTGCTTCTGAGCCAGGGATGGTCAGGTTGCTGAAAGCTCCAGAGTGAGAGGAGGCTCCAGGGCTGGGAAACAGGGGGCTGTAGCGCCAGCTCTGCCAGGATCCTAGCTCAGGGGGTCTCACTGAATGTCCTTGCAGCAAGGCAAGGGTGAACTCGCCGTGGACTTCCCACCGCTGACCTCCCAGGAGACGCTGGGTGAGTGCCTCGAGGGGTGCCCAGGGGGATGGGACATGCGGCCTGTCACCACAGCCCCAAGGGCCCTGCTTGCCGTGCCCGAGGCTGTGTGGGGCTGTTTGCCAGCTCCGGGGGTGGTTGCCTGGCCCCTCCTATGAGATCTCCCCCTTCTTGCTCCAGCTGGGACAGCTATTGTCCCTAGGATTTTCCAGTGCATATGGGGCTCCTCCTGTCACCACTCTCTGCTGCCCCATCTCATGTCCTGCAGCCACCAGGCCTCTCTGCCATAAATATCCTTCCCTGTGGTGTCCTCCTCACATCCAGGTACCAAACTGGAGGCTACCAAATCCCAAATTGAGCATCAGGCCCAGGTGACAGCGGAGGTGGAGAAGGTCAAGTCTGCGGTGCAGTGCTCCCGTCTCTGGGTAACGTAACGCTGTCTCCAGTAAAAGCTGCTCCAGCTGAGGGGAGGGTGCTGGGACTTCCAGGCCAGACTCTTCTCCCTGGGACCTGAGGTGCCTCTGCTTGTATTTCATTTTATCTAGGGGGAATCTCTGTTGTCCTTTATGCTGAGCCCCCACAAGGCCCTTTTGTCCTTGTTCTGACAAAGACAAGCTGCTTTCCTCTGTGCTATGAACCTGCAAGCTGCACTGAAAGAAATATCCCGCAGGCCAAGGCTCAGGGAGGAGAACCTGCCCTTATTCCACGTACCAAGGCCTACGGCACAGTGTCTGATCCCTCTTGCTCTCCTGTTATGACCAGGACATTGCTGGGAGGCTTCTGGCTCAGCAGAAGTCCACAGTAGACCTGCAGCAGCACATCAAGGAGTGTGAGGACAAGAAGGTGGTATTGAAAGACAAGTTAAAGGAGCTGGAGCTGAAACAGGCTGAGCTGAAGTTCCACCAACCCCCAAGTGCAATCAGGTACTGTTGGCCTTGGCTCAGTGCTGCTAAAGCAGGAAGCAGAGTATCCAAAAGTCATCCTGTGGCTGTGGGGACATGGGCAACGAGGCACATCCAAGATCCTTGTGTCTGCAAGGCCAAGGGGTGGGCAGCAGCAGGACCAGAGGCTGTGCAGGCCTCCAAAGCCAGCCAACCTTGCACAGCAGGTTGGACAACATATCACTGGAGTTTTCCCATCTCTGTGCAGCCAGATGTGTCCTCCAACCTACCTGGGCAGGGAAGCAGTATCAGCAGATCTTAACCAGCCTCTAGAGAGCTGATAGCCCTCTTCTCTGTGGAGGGGGCACCTGGACAGCTTCTGCAGTATTTCAGCTGTTTCTATGCTCATGTTCAATTGTATGGATAAGTGTGGGTGAATCTGGTTAGCTCTAGGAAGCTTGAGGAAGAGCTGAAGATCAATCTGCAGCAGGAAGAGGCCCGCCTTGAACAGATGCAAGCCCAGATGCTGAAGAACCAGGAGCTCCTGCTCATGTTTGAAAATGGCATTGATAACCTCTTCATTCGCCTGTATGGCATCACTGTGCCTGACCAGGTACCCACCTTGTGGCAAGAGAGCTGAGAGATGCCAGCAGGGTGACAGGAGCAGGGATGCTGCCCAAAAGAGCTGCCCGGAGGTGTGACAGGATGAGGGAAAGCAAAGTTGTGTCCCATCTCTGGCACTTGCCTGGGGAAATGGGTTAGACATCAGTGTTCACACAGTGCAAACAGAATCTAGCCCATCTGAGCCTGATGGGGCCCAATGTTCACCACAGCAACAGGCAGGTCTGGAGATTTAATCTGGTATGAGCAGCCCTCAGGTGGGATTGGTTATATGCTCAAATCATGGTCTCAATCCTGTGTCCCCGGTCTCTGGACAGAGAACACAAGCAGTGTGAAATCTCCAAGACAGTAGAACAAGGGCAAGTGGTCAGGCTGATGAGATCTTACTACATACACAGCTATGACTATGTGCTGTCCTGGAGACATGAAGGAGGCAGCTCTTCCCTCTCCTCCCGTGTCAGTTCTGCAGCTGCAGTGACCTGTGGTTCTCGCTGCACCTGCATGTTTCCTGTGGCTTGCTGGGCTCTTTCCAGTCAGGAGGGCTAGAAGGAGGGTCTGCAAATGTGTCTTGGAGACGAGGGGCAGGGTTGTTGCAGAGAGAGATTAGATAGAACCAGAGCTGAGAAGGAAAGGGCTGATTCCTATTCCTGCTTGGAAATAGGATGCTAGAGCTGATGGCTCCAGGGCTGAGGAGGCTGCTCTCTGCTGCTCAGCACAGGGGTAAAGCAGGAGCAGAGCTGAACCCCCAGAGGAAACAGCAGCAAAAAATGGGCTGGGGATGCATAGACCAGAAGGAGACCTCCCCTCTCCTCATGCTCCCCCACATGCTCCTGGTGCCCCATCCTTTGCTCCCATCCTGGCTGGTGCAGAACCCATGGTGCTAATAGCTGGGGTGCAGTGACACTTAACTACAGGAACAATGTGTCCAAAAGTCACCCAGAGCACTGCCTCGGTCATTTTCCCCATCATGATTATTCTTCTCCATCTGTTTGCCTCCAGGACATTTCTGCTGAGGCCAAGGACACAGATGAGAAGCTGCAGCACTGTGAGAAGAAGCTACTGCATTTGGCACAGCTTGTGACCAACCTGCCTGCCCAGCAGAGCCTGGATGAGGATAATGAGGTACATTCAGGGCTCTGACCAAGCTGCCCATCTGTTCCTGTGAGGAAGACACAGACTTGCCCTGGGGGAAAAGCCATGGAGGGGTTTGGCTGAGGACAGCCCTGGTTCTTGCGAGATGTCCTTCTCAAGGACAAAAGCAGTGTCCTTTTTGGACTCTCAAGGGGGACACCATTGAGGTCTAACACTCACCTCCTTTCAGCACCTAACTCAGGGTGTCTTTTACAGACTTTTGTGAAGGTCAGGAATTTTCTGGAGAAAACCACAAAGGAGGAGCCACAGAACCTGAGGATTTCCTTGGAGGATATAGGCATGGGTGTTCAAGGTATAAGAGCATTGCGAGGAGGGGTGGGCACAGAAGGGAGATGTCCCACAGTTCTTGCCACAACCCCTGCCCTCGGGGATTTCTGGGCAGCCTCACCTGCCTCCCAGGATCCCAGCAGCTTTGGACCTGTGAACTTCCCCCAGATGAAGCCTGGATTGACCCTGACTTGGAGGACCAAGTGTGGGTGGTCATCTTAAGTGGGGATGTGGGGGAATAGAGGCAGCCTGTGGTGCACAGAGTGCTGAATAGCAGCAGGTAAAGAGGAGAGATGCTATGAAAGAAGGAGGGAGAGCTGTGCATATTCATTAGCCAGACTGGACCAGGGTTTCTTAGCCTCAGTTGAGGCATCCTAAATGTTCTTCAGACCTGCAGGTAGCTAAAGTCTTTAAAATTACCTGGTTGTAAAGAACCACCAATGCTTGACTCCTTCCATGTCCTCTTCTTCCATGGATTCTCTTGGAGAGTCTGAGTTTTCTTTAATACACATTTTTTTTGTTTGTTTTAAATGAAAAGGGAAACTGTGCCCACCACCTTGTGACTCTAGGCCCAGAGCTTTGGGGGAAACCCCAGCAGTGAGAATCAGGTCAGAGTGGGTTGTTGTCAGGCTTGGATGGATCAATATAAGATACTGCAATGGAAAACCCGGGTGGGAGTGTGTGTGGCAGGGATGCCACCGGCAGGCACAGAAGACATGGCCCAGCAGCTGGTCCACAGCAAGTGCCTCTCTGCTCTCTCATCCAGATGCCTTTGATTTTGCTGAAAAAGACCATGGCCATGTTCTCACCCGGGATGAGATCAAGAAGCAGGGGCTGCGGTTCATCGAAAGCAAGATGAAAAGTGGCAAGAAGAAGCAGCAGTCGTTCCCCAAAGGCTTTTGACACCCCAGCCACCACTGTTCTCCCCCTAGACAATAGAGCAGATCTTTTTCTATTCCTTCCAAGACCATGCAGAAAACTGAAAGGGAACAGCAGTAGGATCTTGCATTTGGAGCTGTAGGTGTGACCTCACCCAAGGCAGCAATGCAAGCACAGAAGAAATGGAGAGTCAGGGCTTTCATACCCCATATGCCACTATTTTTGAGCTCAAACCTCTTGCATGCAAGGAATGTTTGATTCAAGGTTAGGCAAATTTGTTCTTGGTGAAATGGGGTGAAGTAGTGAAATTATACCTGCCCTGTCAAACCCTGTCCCATTGTCACTGAGACCATTCCTGCCTCTTCCTTCCTTGCATTCACATGCTCCAATTTGTGCACACTAAACTCAGAACAAGCTTTAGGCTGCAGAGAAATGCATGAAGGTAATGTCAACCTGGGTCACCCAACACAACCTGAGAAAGGAGAGGATGCCACATCCACCCCCAACCCGCAGCTCAGATTTGGATTCTCAACCCTGCAGCTTTCCCAGGCATTGGATGGAGTAGCACACAGACTTGCTCCAAGGGCACTCGGGCCTGGCTCACATCAAGACACTCATAAAACAATGCTGCAAATAGATGGTGCTGTTTCCCCAGACACAGATGACACAGAGAACCTTCTGGCAGGGACACCATAGTCCTTGCTGATGACTCAGGAGAATCACCTCAGCATCAGACCAGGGTCCTT